TAATTGTTTTAATTTCCCCTCCTTTAAGCTAAGAGTTTTTTTTAAAAAAGAATTATGCAATTATGAACAAATAGCATTACAGGACTGCCACAGTATAAATCCTAGTCTTCATGTTTGTGTGGGTGTAAAATGCATTTATAATTAAATTAGCAATGATTGCCCTAATTGAAAATCTTTAAATTGGATAATAACCTTAGAATAATAGTTAATTGTGTGTCGTTAATCACTTAGAATAAGAAAAAGATAAGTGAATGATATTTAAATAAATATTATAATTGCATGGGGTTGTTCTGCAGAAAGCCTCTTAAATTTCCTTTGAAATGCATGTACTCCACATAGTGACATTTTTCAAATGTATTTTTTGCTGAATCTTTTTGGTTAGTTTCGAATTTAATTGTCATTGAGGTTTGCCTTTATTAAAGTACTAATGTTACGCCATAGCTATTACAAATAAGCATACTTCTTTGCACAGTATTTATTTTTAGTTTCTGCTTTGTATTGAGGGCCCTACATGTATGCTTTTAAAGGATAAAGAGGGGATATTACTAGTTTTAAATAGCATTTGACAACAACACAATCACCTTCGTGTTAAAGTGTCATAATTGAACTTTAGTTTTCATTGCGTTTTGTTGTGTGGAGTTTTTGTAACTTTAAGTTCGTTGATTTTTGTGGCAATTGAAGCAAAATTTGCAGGAAGCTTTACTTTGCTGCTTCCATTTGAAGTAAACAGCAGCTGAAGATTATCGACTTCTGTAGGAGGCTTATGGAGACCACGTCGTGTTGCCTTAGTAGCGTACGTATTAAAACCAGATGTGGAAAGGAAATTTTTTTCTTCCGGGGAGTTGATACATAGGCAAAAATGGAAGAGTTTTCTGCATTTAATCGTAGTAGGTAACAAAAACTGGATTTATTATGACAATTTAAAGCAGCGATTCTTAAACTTTCGATTGCCTCCTCCTTATGTATCAACCTGACATCACGGACCCCCAAAATTTTGAACACCCTTGTCTGACTCCCAACACAAGGTTGAGTGATTTAGTGGTTTCTCAAAAATCCTAAAACTGTTATTATACACTTTTTCAACACTTCGTTTTTTCATTTAAGAAAACAGTAGACATCTAATTATGTATGCATATAAAATATTACAAATACTAGTTTCAAATATATAAATAATGTAGGTGCAAATAAATAAATAATACAGCCACAAATTTTGATGAGGAAATCTAGATGGAAGCAATTATTATCGTATTGGTGCGCTATGTGAATTCAGTTCTTAATCTTTGCACATGGGTTTCTACTACATATACAGAGTGTCCCAAAACGACCGCATAAACTCTGCACAGCTAGATTCCTCGTTGAGAGTACATAAAAACTGCCCACAGAAGCATTCCTGTACGATCCACAGTTTACGAGAAAAATACGGAAAAAAAGTATGACGTCACTTCCCGGTGCAAGAAAAAACACTTTATTAGACATATCAACAACAGTATTTGTATATGTTTCCAGACGATAATGTATTCCGTTCGTGACTACAGCGACATACCATCTCAAGCAACTGGTGTATCGAGACGTAGTGTCAACACAAATGGACTTAGTTGTTCGTCTGCATGCTGCTTGTGGACCCCACGATGCTGCGACGTGTGATGAGAGCCATTCCACGGCGTGCTCAAGCCTGCCTCGACATGCACAGTGGACATTTTGAACATCTGCCTTATATTGTGCATATACTGCTGTTGATATGTTCAATAAAGTGTTTTTTCTTGCACCGGGGGAAGTGACGTCATGCATTGTAACGTAAACTCTGGATCGTAACTCGTAAACTATGAATCGTACAGGAACGCCTCCTTTATGCAGTTTTTATGTACTCCCAACGAGGAATGTACCTGTGCAGAATTTATGCGGTCGTTTCGGGAACCCCTGTATTTTGAAAATATTACGTTTTAGTAATGGATATGTAGTTGCAAAAATAAAAATAAACTGAATTAATATTCTTTATTGAAATATATGTTCTTGTATATATTTTTGTTTGTCAACAATTGAGTGATCTGGTCTAGGGGGACACATCTTTCAATTTTTCCACGGGGCCATTCAGAGACTGTAAAAGAGAGAAACTTAAACATTAGATAAGAGACTTTCGTGGATCCCCTAGAAAGCCTCTGTTGACCCCTGGGGGTCCACGGACCACAGTTAAAGAATAGCTTATCTAAAGCATAAGGGATAGACTTGGCCATGCAACAATAACTTATGCGAAGACAGATATTCATGCATTAAGTTTTATGATGTATATTTGGTGGGATCAGCTTACTGTAGCGTATTATGAGTTATTAAAACCGAATGAAACCATTAAGGGGGAATCAACACCAAATATAATTAACACGTTTAAGCCCAGCATTAAAAGAATAACAGGTGGAATTTGAGCAGAGACACGACAAAGCGATTTCGTAGCAGGAGAATTTTCTACCACATGAGGCATAAGCTTGGCAAAATTACGTGAAAAAACTCAAATGGATATCCCATATTCTCCAGATATTGCTTCTTCTGGTTAGCTACTTGTTTCAATAAATGGCTTGTGGCCTGTCTGGTCTTATGTTTTTTCAAGGATTGCATGATTCTTTAATTGCCGCTAAAGACCAGCCATGTTTTAAACATTGACATTCCTAAGCTGCCAGAAAGAAGAAAGCAGTGCCGGTTTAAGCTCATTTTGGGCCCTGGGCGTAGAAGATCCCTTGCTGATCGAAATTTATAACCAGAAAATCTGGTCCAGCTTTTCCGGGCCCTTCCGAACGAGGGCCCCTGAGCGCCCGCCCCAAACGCCTATTGGATAAACCTGCACTGAGGGAAAGTAATGGCTCTGATGATGGACAATCAATCGAGTAATTAATTTGCTACTATTTTTGCACAATAAAAAGCCTGAATTTTCACAAAAAAAAAATCTTTAAAATTTTCTTATACATACGACAAAGCAGTTCAGAATTAGGTTCCCTCCTCTTTATTGTTGTTTTTTATGAGGACTTACAGACAAAGGAGGGGGGGGGGAGGGGATAATGAATATCTTACTCAAATTATATGCATTTAAAAATACTACGGCCGTGGGTAGTCTAGTGGTTAGAGCATCGGACGCCAGACCGGAGGGCCTGGGTTCGATGCCCGATGCCACCAAATATTCCCCGAGTACACACGGAGTACGTGGTTCGCCCATCCGAATGGTGTCGCAATCTATCGTGAGCAAAATCGTACTGTCATCTTTATGGGCTCATAGATTAGGCTAATGACAGGCGTATCTCTAGCCCGTTGCCATGACGAATTTCGTGGGCCTCGATCTGACTAGGCCAGACAGGTGGCATAAACAACAACAAAAAATAGTACAATTTTTACGTAAGCAAAGGATAAGAGGTTTTTTAATCCCGGCCCAAATTATTTTTGTTTTTTAAAATCACAAAGCAGTCAACAAATTCGTCATGTATTTAGAACATATAATTGTGTGTGCGTGTGTGTGTGTGTGCGCGTGTGTGCGCGCGTGTGTGTGTGTGTGCGCGTGTGTGTGCGCGTGTGTGTGTGTGTGCGCGTGTGTGTGTGTGTGCGCGTGTGTGTGTGTGTGTGAACAGCATCAATTACTACATTTTTTTTCTCATAGAGTATTTGTCCGTTCATAATCAACGATCGGTAAAAAGCAAAGCAGACTACTAATAGATCTTCAGCAGATGCAATGGATATCTTACGAGAAAAATAGAAGCAGGATCAAACAGAAAGAAAAAAAAATGAAAAAAATCTAACCTAATAATATGCCTCACAAACTCAAATGGAAATGTATTGCTATGCATACGCGCTTGCAAGCATGTATCATTGTGTGAAAGATAAATCATATACATTTTAGTATCCTTCTTAAGGCTACAACTAATGATTCATTTTTCTGAATAAGTAATTTTTATAATGAATTTATTTTTGAAATTTTCACGTTGGCGGGGTGTAGAAGTTTGGAGAGAAAAGTGCAAGCTTAGGCATTGTTCTGAGCACTTGACCGTGGTTCAGAATGACGAAGTCCGTCGCCAGTAGCCTTCGTGGGACTTTGACATGCGATGCGAATACAAAAAAAAAAAAAAAAAAAAAAAATCAAGACGGTTGATTTTAGTTTATTATAAATTTTATTAAATTTAAGTTAAATAGTAAAAAATAACTTTATTACGTTTATTTTAAATTAATATAGTATTAAATTTTATTATAAGTTTAGAATTTATCGGTCAAATCAGCAATAGTACTTATAAAATGACAAAGAAATAATTTGTTTCGTACGATTCAATTAAGGTATTTGCTCAACGGTGTTTCTGAAAACAAAAAAAAAAAGAAAACTAACAAATCGTCATTTTCATTAGGTTTCCTTCCCACATAAAATATATTATTTTCTTTCTGGATAGAGAAGAAGAAATGTACCTTTTTTTTTGTATGTGAACGTTAACAAAACTTTTTAGCTTCTATATAAAAGAAAGAATATCCCCCCATCCCCCCCCACCCCTCTCCAAAACAAGGCGTAGCAATTACGAACAGAAAAAGAAAACCTAGAATACATATCGCTCAAGCTGAAAAACGTTTTCTTTTTTCCTATTGCTATGTATCATAAAGTTATCTAAACTGATCGAAAAAACTCCACAAAAACTAAATATCCTACAATGTGTATACCATCATACATTCGAGCAGTATATGTTCCTGTATGATGAACAAATATTAATCGGAGATTGGATTAATACTCCTATTTTCAATTCATACTATTAGTTCACTCTCTCTCCCTATTATCCATATATCTTGTTCAAATTTTCAATCGTTAATAAAATACTTTCTTCATCTTTTCAAGTACAAATACATATTTTATACTTTGAGTGAACAGCACTTGATGATAATATAGTTCTTTCAAATATTAATTCATTAACTCGAATAAAAAATTACTAATAGTAAGAAGCAAAAATAATAGTCCAACAGCATAAATAGAAAGGAAAATTGTTCGATGTGTCTCTGTAGCGCAACGGATAGCACGTTGGACTTCTAATCCAAATGACGTTGGTTCGAAACCACCTGGGATGGTCTAATTTCTGAGAAAGTGATTTCTTGCTTAATCTATTTTATTAGAATTATTAAATTTAATTAATGAACAAATGGCAACAAACAAACAAAATAGTCCAACAATATAAGTAGAAAGGAAAAACGCTTTATATTTTATCACTTGATATTATGATTCTGTCATATGTATATGCATATTTATATTAATTGTAACTCTTTAATAAAAAATGACTAAAATATAAAATTTAAAAAAAATTGTTAGCCTAAGAAGAAATTGACTGAAAATTTTTTTTTTCTTCTTGGTATTACTTGGTTTAGAAAAAGCTTTTGTGGCGTGTAATACAATTCTAAACTCGTTTTTTTATTATCAGTTAAATTTTTATATTAAATTACGTAGTCTTTAGTTTTATATTTTGAATTTTGTCCTAAAATTTCGAATGAAAATTTAACAGAATTTGATTTAAATTCATTTAATACATATCAATCAAATCTTTATTTAGATTCATAGTTCCTATTAAAACTGAATTATCATACGAATCATTAAGAAATGGGGAAGATGTCATTTCAAACTCTCGAGACAGGAGTGATTTCCATCAAGATGTCGGCAACCATAAAGAGACTGTAATTGCTTGGAATCGAGAAGAGCGGCTAGTGAAATTAATGGCACAGCAAGAGCATTACCTTAATTAAGTCTTAAGTGAGGGATTGAAGAAATGAGAAGACGAGCTTTTCTGTCTAGAACGTTTACAAAAATATACGTCTTTGAATGAACCATTTATAATAATGAAGATAATATCTTGAAATAGCATTCAAATAAAAGGCTGGTTTTCAAAAAATAAAAGTAGGATTTCAACAAAAAAAAAGTTATGTCTTTGAAAAAAGAAAAATTAGCGTATCCTTAATAACTTTTGAATTCTCCGATCGCAATTGAGTAAAATAAATATTAAAGTTAAGAGTGCAAAGAGAATTAAATTATATTGTAATTTATTAATTAATTAACTAAATTAATTCCTAAAACATACGTTTCTGTCGTGATTGCTAATTATTTAAAGAAATGATGATATAAATAATTTAAATAGCATATATTTTCCAAACTGCATGATTTGACTAAACAATTTGATCATGGAAAGAAATGATGGTTGTGGTAACCTAGTGGTCAAGGTAACGGACTCGTGGCCGGCGTGTCATGACCCCGCCCTGTAAAACTTGTAGAGGCTCAAACATCCTCCTGTTCGGGTGGAAGTTAAGGTGCCCTCGTTACTTGACCATGGTTCAAAATTACGCGGTCCGTCGACAAAAGAACTCGAGTATCTAAAAAGACGATAATAATCACTCAAAAATTTACGACTGCTGAAATACGCATAGGCTAGCTCTGAATTCTTAAAGTGTCTAAGTAGAGATATGGTACAGAAATTTAGAGTAAAATATCTTACCTGCTTAAAATTTTTAAAAAATGGAAGTTGTATAAAAAACTTCAAATTGACTAAACCCAATAAAATTTCAAAACATTTTCTATGAGGTTGATGTTTTATAATGTTCTTTTCTGAAAAAATTGGCAACGGAATTAGCAATTCTGAACTTTAATCAAGTGATTGGAAAGAAAAATGCATTGACACCCTACTCTCCAACCTTCAGCAGCATGTGAAATTTAAACCTCAGCTAGGCGGATTCTTCCTTTACATAAGGAACCGAACCCATGACTCGACAACCCCGTTCACGAATTCTTGACCATTGTACATTTTCCCGTCCCACAGCTGCAAAATCGGCGTCTTTAGGTGGATAGCATACACCATTTATCGGGCGATCATCGGGCGCGATGTCAGAGGAAACGACCCTGCAATATCATAGGTGTGCACGTGTCACCCTTAAGATGCACCCGTGAGAAAAACACCACTCCATCCACGAGCCGGAATCCCGAGTGTAATTCGAGGTGCACGAGTTGACCCCCCCCCCCCACCGAAAGAGTGAAAAGGGAGTATGTATTGAAACACTAGAAAGAACGGTTGTGTTTGTGGCCTTCCTTTTATAGTTGTTGTTGCTTATTCCACCTGTCTGACGTAGTCAGATTGAGGCCCAAGAAATTCCTCATGGCAACGGGCTAAATCTACGCCTGTCGTTAACCTAAGCTTTGAGCCCCCATGGAGGTGACAGTACGATTTTTCCTCGATAGATGGCGACACCATTCGGACCCACTGATTTAACGGGCACGTACTCCGTGTGTACTCGGTGGGTATTTGGTGGCATCAGCATAGAACCCAGGCCTTCCCGTCTGGAGTCCGATGCTCTAACCACTAGGCTACCCACGGCCCCTTTTTATAGTTCCTTCACAAATAACATATTGTATAGAATGAAAATAGTCAATAATTTGAACAATTAGTAAGCAGCTGCACAGACTGTAATCAACAGATAGCTGTGGACGAAATAAATCTCTTACTTAATTTCTTATATCTCATGCTACCCGCCAATTTTCCCAAACGTCACACCATGATCCATCAGCTACAGCAGTCATTTCCCGACCATAGAACAGTGCTGTTATATATACTATAAACTCTGAAGTAGCGAAGAAATAAATTCTCAACAATTTTACAAATTTTTCATCTGGTAATGAAACAAGAAATTTGAAATTCCATGTTTATTTTGCAAGATTTTTTTTTTTACTTTGTATGTGTAAATTCCTGAATTGATAATGTAGAAATAAATTTCTTTTTTACCGGTTTCTCTAGTATTGTGACATGCTCCTAATACTAAGTTCATCGTTATTCAAAAAGTACGAACCTCTAGTTATTTCCTAGAATGTTTACAAACACTAGTACGTTTATATCGTTATATCAAGTTTGATGTGTCGTTACATATCGAATCTTTTATCTGCTCTAGTATAAAAATGTGTTCTTCAGCCCCATTCCTTTACTAGCTATACCCTTCTTATGCAGCCATTATCTGTAAACTATCAAAAATATTTCCGAAAGAATCCTGTGCTTCTGTATTTATTTGTAGCTCAAGCTTTTTTTGCGCATTCAAACATTTTAGTCTATAGGAGCATTGAGCACAAAAGCTTTTGCACAGGGAAAGCAAGTCAACTATTGTAGGAAATAAAGCATTATGGAATGGGGCACATAGACTTATTTCCTTTTATGTAACTCTTGTATTTTGAAATATATTTGAATAAATACGCTCTTTTTTATAAAAAAAATAGAATTTTGAGAATTATTTGCATGTTTTTATAGTGTCATTCCTTATAACAGTACATGTTTTTGTAAGAAAGTACGATTTGTTACAACAGTGAAACGTTAAAAAAAAAAGAATAACCCCGTTTTAGATTTAAAATATTATTCACAGCATATTAAACAACAAGCAGTACATGCTACACTGTGAGGACTTTCAGCAGGTTTGGCAGCAGATATATGAGGTTGTTTCTCCGTCAAAAAATACTTGTACAAAATAAGATCCGAATATATAGGTCGTCGCTAAAAGCATGTAAATAAGTAGCACGTGCATTTACAGGGTCGCTTATTACATGAATTTACATGACATCCCATTAGCGTTGGCATGGATCATGCTTTGAAATGAGCCTGCTCCTTTGCGTTTTAATTCCGACAGTGCATCTGTCTGCTAAATGTGGCCACGCTAGCTTAGTGGTCTAGGTAACGGACTCGTGGCTGGTGTGTCACGAGTTCGACCCTGGTACCGCTGATAACCCGCCGTGCGGAGGGAGGCGATACACGTTAAATAGGTTGGACTCAAATGTCCTCCCGTCGGTGGGGTGTGGAAGTTAGGAGAGGGGGAGCAGCTGACGTGTCGTCCTTGTCAATTAACCACGGTTCAAAATGACGAGGTCCGTACCCAAAGCCCTCAAATACCTGAATAATGCGACGTTAATACTCACTCATTTACTGTGTGCTAAATTCATGTGACGTCAGAATCACTTGATAACTACACTCACGTGTCTCCAGTATGTCAGTTCATGCGCTTTGTTGTTGCCAACTTTTGGTTTTTACAGAAACTTCCTTTTAAAAAAGTATTTAATTATCAACAATTATAATTCACACAGGTGAGCAGATTACACTTGTTGTAAAAGCGAGTTTATAATATAAGCATTCTTTTTTTTTTAATTTGGAAAAACTTTTTGTGTATGTGTGTGAAGAATTTTAATATTTACTGGTAGATTAAGAAGTGCAAGACAAATGGTATCTTGGAAATGTTGTTTAAATGTGTGACGAATCTATACGCATCTATAACTAACCCCTTGGGGACTTTTCTGGGGCAACAATATTACCAACATACTTTCACCGAAGCAAGGGAACGTGATTATGCGAATTAAGTATATTATATAAATTCTGTATTCGCGAGTTTTGAGAGTTAGTTGGTGAGTGGAGGATCGTGAAATTATTAAGTGTCAATCGGAGTTTATCAATTGAAAAAGTCTAAGAGAGTATCACTCGACGGTGATTAAATCCGGATAAAGATTACATTCCAGGCCTCAACTTCATAAAAGTACAGATATCGTGATCATTGTTTAAATAGAAGTTTAGCTTATTAGTGCGTGACGTCGTTTATAGGTTATCGTGGAATCAGTTGATGGTCCGTATTATTATCCCCAGGCTAACGGGTCTCACCTCCGCGCTCTGCTATCTGATCATTTATCTTAATTAGATTATTATTGTGCTTGCTTGATATCTTGGTGACAATAAAATTAATTAGAGTGAATCATGTCTACTGATTATTCAGTTCCTCCCACACATCTAGCCGGGTTCGAAAGTAGACAAGGGGGAATAGAAGGAAGCAGGAACCGACAAGCATTACAAATGTGTATAATCTACTCTTCAAAATTTGACCATTTTTTATGAAACACCCTGTATAATTATGAAATATTAAACAAAACAAAATATATAAAATTGGGAATAAGAAGAAACTTAGAAGGATTTTTTGAGTTCTATAGATTTCACAAAAAGCAGTGAACAGAATTGAGATTTCCAGCGGTTAAATGAGTAATTGTTTGAAACAGCATAAATTATATTGACATGAT